TACTTACTTGCTAAAAGTAAACAGGAAAGAGCAACCACATGCAGTTGCTGTGTGGATATGTCATAGCGGTCCATGAAGAGGTCCAGCAGATACACAGCCAGATGTCGYGCAGCAGGACAGAGTCTGAACCTGTTGCTCACAATTGCAATCAGGTCTGCAAAATATCTTCTCAGGTGTAACTGGGGAGACTGGCCCTTGTAAGAGGGCAGCTTCAGCTCCTAGATGGACAGCAGCAGGTAATTTTATTAAAACCACAATTTAGTTTGAATTAATATAGCTGATACTTTAATATATTTTAATGGAAGTTTGAAAGTATTTCTCCCTTCTTCCTTCTGTTCCCCTAATTTCAGAATCCCCTTTTCAGTGAACAAAATCTATTYGTTATATTGGAGAATAACTAAAAGATAACTTTGTTTCTGTACAACACTAACAACTTAAAATTTAACATACCRGAATGACTTCAGTTTTTACTATGTCTGTTGTATTACCTCTGCTGCAAAGGCTGTACAACAAGGGCATGCAAGTATTCCTCAGCTGCTTCAATGCAAAGYTCAATAGTTTAACTCAACCCCTCTCTTGCTACAGCTTAATTTGAGCAACCAGACTTTGTACTTAAGTGTTTGCATGTTTCTCAGCTCCATAGCTGAGAAATCTCTTGCTGATGACTCCAGGAAAAGACCACTCAGAGCCAGCTGAATCCTAGGAAGGGGAATGGGTGTGCATGAACGTTCGCTTCGTGTGTATGTTAAAACACTGGCCTGAATCTGATTGATATCACACTCACACTACAGTGTGCTCTAAGGCAGTTAGTTAAGTTCACATAGTCTCAGATCTGGGGGGAGGACCCYTCAAAACAAAAGCCCTACCAACACCATTTTTAAGAAAAATCTGTGCCATGATCTATTTTGAATACAAAATTTGTACTGGTAGAAAGCAAACTTTCTCCAGGCTCCTGCCTAGTAGCCAGAAYCTCCTCTTGTATGCAGCAGAACAGCAGTGCTGTCCTCTGTTGTCATGAATAAATTTATGAGTTTGACTGCACCCATACGCTGTAAGTAGGATTTTGAGAACAATTACATTTCCARCAAAAGCTAACTTGATTGGAATTAACTTAATTAGTTTAACTTGAWGACATAAAGTTGGAATGGAGTCACACAAATTTTTTAAAGTTTTAATGTAAATTCAAAGTTTTGAAATAGGCTATTGAAGCGAAAAAAAACCCCAACCCTACAAACTTCTCACCTGCTAAGCTTTAGAATTCACCTTTCACAGCACTAACTTAGCTTTAGAAATTATAACTTTGGTACAAATAAATGATCCTGTCCTTCCCTTATTTACCTCCAACACCGAGAAAGAGAAAAGAAGTCACAACTTCGGGAAAAGTAATCGGCTCAGCGAATACCATAAGGCAGCAAAAGCACGTTTTTAATAAGTTCAGTCAATGCAAACTGATTTTCAGCTCCCGGTATAAGATGTGCTCTATGAAAATAGCCCGGAAGAGCAACTTCGAGTCCGTCGAAGCAACTTCTAAGCAACTGCCTAAACCCTCCACTATTCTTACTGCATTTAGCATTTATTTCATTGAGTTTTTGTTTGTTTGGTCCAATAACACCACAATGCTTTYTGCCGAGTTTAAACCCGGATCCACGCAAGCGTCCCAAGAGCAGCGGCGGGCGCACCGTGAGCCCTTTCCCCTCTTCAGAGAGCAGCGGGAGCACAGTCCGGCCGCTCGGATCAGCTGTCACGGTCGCGGACACACGGCCCCAGCACCCACGGAGGGAAGACACAGCGAGTACCGAGTTTACAAAAGCCAACTTCGCCAAACCCCGGCGACCGAGCGGGGCCGCCCCACACGCGCTGTCCGCCCGCTACCCCCGCGATGGCCGGAGCCTCACAAAGGCGGCGGGGCCGCCCCGCAGCCCGGCTCGCCCCGGGCTACCTTGTATCGAAGCGCTTGATGGATGTCGGCCGCCAGCTGTCCTGTCCACCACTGCGCCTCCAGCTCCATCGGCGGCGCGGCACGGCGCCCGAACCCGGGCACGGGGGAGGAAGCGGCGCTCGCTGAAGGCGGGACGGGCAGCGCCACCCTCGCCCCTTTCTGGCTCGCTCCCGGTTAACCGCGATCAGCTGCCGCGGGGCGCCCCCGGCCCCCCAGCCCAGCTGGCCGCCATGCGGGGCACAAGTGCGGCTCGTTAAGCCGCCCCCTCCCGCCGCGGGGCACGGCCGGCCGAGGGGGGCGCGGAGGTGAGGGCGGCCGTG